AAGGGGTTGTGTAACAACGCTCCTATAGACTCTGCTGCCAGTCCTCATTATAGCTGCAGGCCTGGATGCAACACGGCTCGTTTCCCCCTCAGCAACACTCTTTGTTTTCCTGTCATTATACACCTCTCTGCAAGTTACACCTTTAGTTCTTCGCCTGGAGTGACACATCACGCATCCATTTAAGTGCTGCTGCTCTCAGACTACAAATTATTTCTACTGGATCCATGCGATATGAGTGCATCAAGGATTTGCAAATTTCCGTTCTCACTCCAGCTAATGCACTGTGTGCCTGAGAACAAGCTGTGACTTGTCTGTTTGGCTATATTGGTATCCGAGGTGCTCCCGCTGAACACAAGGCTGTAGCTTTGTGCACAACGCTGCCAGGTGTGGGCCACAATAGCAGGTCATCCATTGGAGAATTTGATAGACGATTCATTTATTCTACTAAATGTTCCTCCACAGCGAGCAGTGTCAACGAAAAGCTGGAATTGTCAGTATATTGTAAAGGCACACACTCATAGGAGGCTGTAATACAGCTTAATGATAAAGTCAGGGAGGCTGGTTTATTGTGAGAGCACACCGTCTGATATACTCCCTGTACCCTCTGTGTTAATCCTCAGCTTAAAGCTATGAGATAACCTTTACAGTACACACAGGCCTCTCAATGAAATCAGCGTGCAACTCTTATGACCCACACACACGGCCAGCCCTGCAGGGCATATCGTGTCCCCAGAGGAGAATAGCTTCAGCAGGGGTACAAGCTGCATACTTCACATCTCCAGTGAATAAAAGGAAGTATTTACACTTGATAAAAGCCAACCTAAGGGCACAGGCATGTGTGCACTCAGTTCTGCTCCACTGTCTGTACCAGCCAAAAACCATGCTCAGCAAATACCTGCCCTCCTTTGTGAAGCAGTACGACTCCGCCGTGGTGGAGTTTCGCTGAGGAAACATTGTACAACAATCTAACTCAATAGGAAATCTACAGTTTATGCAACAACTGGCCAAAAATAACGGAAAATTACTAAAGACGACAACTTTACATTGACTGGAGGCTTACGCTGAAATCATGGCTCAGCCCGGCAGCCTATCGAGGCCTGCTTACCCACAGAGAGCATCGATGGAGGGAGTGTACCAGTATATGGCACAACTATGTAGTATAACCGGTCTGTGGGCTACTCCTGGTTATTCTGTTATTGGTCCATCAGCTCGGGACAGAGTAGAGGGAAGTTATAACATGAAAAGAGCTGAAGTGAAACAAAGTGTCAAACACATTGAGAAATGACCACCACAGTCACTGCCTGTGCTTCTCCCAGTCCCTGTAAATGTCGCCACGTGTCAACCAATCGGCATTAAACAGACACATAGGTCATCCGCAACCAGGGACATGCATCCGGGATTTTGGACAAGTGCACAGGAGCACGTTTGCAATGGGTGAAACCCTGTCTTTTTACACTGTCCATAGGGAATTGCATACACAAATTAATACAATCCCCCTTAAAGGACAATATGAGGCAGGACTCTAGCACATTATCAGCTGGGGCAAGTTTGGTAGTAGTGCACTAGAGTTTATGCTTGGAGGGTTATTAGCTTAAAAAAAAAAAAAAAAAAAAAAAAAAAAGATATTGGCTAAATATGCAAGTTTTAGAATCACTACTATGCATCAATGCAACAACCACAGAGAGAGTGCGTGGTGTCAAGGACATTTCTCTCTTTGGTAAAGTAACCTGGGAAAATATTTGTCATATAGGATTATCCTTCTGTCTCTCAATCTACGATGGCTCCCAAATCAAAAAATGTGAGATTGTCAGAAGGCTGTGGCTGAACTGCTTTAGACATAATCAGGTGATGACAACTGAGCTCATGTTACTCACAGCCAAAGGAGGTACTAATCTTATGTTTTCCATTTTTGGGTTTGCTTCTTGAACGTCTCCAGGAAACAGTCCCAGAGGAGGACATTAGAACAAAGACAACTACCTCACTCTGTGCCACACAAGCACCACTGCAGGGCCTTGCACCACAGATGTGACACACTTAAAACAAACAACAAAAAAAGCCCAAAAGGTTAAAAAGAAAAAAAAGACCATTAATCAGAGCATAGGATGTTAGGGAAATGACCTGATCAAGAGAATTAAAAGGAAGGCTTTTCATTGGTGTTTGAGTTTAAATATTTCTGCTTTGCATATTCCTTTAGCTTCATGATCTACTCACGAAGTCAAGTGATTATTTGAAACCATTTTGTTTTGTTTTTTGAGTTAATATTAAAATACAGAAATTATTTTGAGTTTGGTAAAAGCCTCAACTACCCAACTGTAGCAGATTTAAAGAAACTATAGCACATCCTATAAAAACTGTAGGACATTACAATTGGGGTGAACCTGCATCTTCATTTGTATTGACTAACCTGAGCTACAGTATTCAGCTAAGAACTCTTTCAAAACATCTTTCTGTGTTTCCAGTAGTTTTGTTTGTTTGGTTTTTTTTTTAATGCTAAAACTAGAGCAGCGTAAGCACTATCAGAATCAAGTAGAGACCTTCCAGTGGCGTTATCATCGACACTGGTGATAATTGTTATCTTCCAGACAGTCAGAATCAAGTAGAGAGCACATACACTGTTCAGTGATCATGATGCCCCAGTGACCAAAGACATTTATCTAATGCGGCTTTCAAATATTTTATAAATTATGTGCACAAAGTTCTAAGGCCGTTTGTGTGTGTTCGTGTTCCTGTTTAGCCATCTTTGTGAGGACCGAAATCTGCATTCTACTATACTTGTAAGAACCAACAGTCACTTGTGAGGACACACACACTGGTCCTCACAAGTTTGAAGGCCTTTTTGAGGCTCAAAATGTGGTTTTAGTGTCAGGGTTACAATTAGGTTATGGTTAGGTTTAGGATAAGGGTTAGGCATTCATTTTTAATGGTTAGGGAAACCACTTTGTCAATGAAGGTCCTCAATAAGATAGTTAAACGGCGTGTGTGTAGTAAATTCGAGTGCATCCTATTGATTGTCATTTGTGAGATTTATTGATTTGGTAACTCCAATTAAAAATTCTGCTTGGAGGTCAGATTCTTCATCGATTCCTTATCAATTTCCTGTGTGGCTAAAGCAGCTCAAAATAATTAAAAACAAACAAAACCATACCATCACTAAAAACTGATAAGCCTGAAGTGATATGACTGAACAGTTTAAAGCTGGTTCGCTGTCGTGACTAGACTGCACATGCAGGCTTTAATGGCACGTAGCCCAGCTCTCTATATTTTCTGATCTTTGATCCAGCCTGTTGTAGTGGTCTGCCTCAACAACACTTCTGCAATGCGACATGAAGATCAACTCCCTGCTGAGTCACAGAGAACCACTTGAAAACACAAGAAGACCAGACTCTCAACACCGATTTTCAAATAACACGGTAGGAATGACATCACCACTCCACACACACACACGCTCTTTAGTTGTTGTTAGATGGAAAATGACACATTTAGATTTGTACCAGGCTGATTTAACTGTGATGCTGTCTGATTTCGATTGAATTTCAAGTTAACAGAAGAAAAAACTAAACAAAAACCAAAAAGAAGGGCCATCCAATGCTTCTCACCTTAAAACAGTAGCAGCCCGGCATGCAGTGAGAAATCACAAATACAAGAAAAACATCAGAGTCCACATTTACAGCCATCACGCTGCAGCTGGTCTTCTTTAAAGCATTGCTGCAAGCATTCAACTACAAGGTCTTGAGCTTGCATGCTAGATTTACTGCCTATGTTCATAAGCATGTAGGGGGAGGATGAGGATTTTTTGCTGTTTTGTCTAGATCATCAGAACCCTCTGGAGGTGAGGTGTAGCCACCTTTTTAAAAAAAAAAAAAATTCTATTTGCAAGCTGCATGAGCTTTGAGATGAAATGGCTCCTGCAGGACAGCACTAAAATAAAAAGCCTGCTTTCAGTGCTGTGTTACCAGACGGGCCTTTGGCCTTGGCGTCGCATCTATCTTCAGGCCTTGATGCTGCAGCGCTAGCAGGAGCACTGTTACCCATGCAGCTCAATGGGAGCCTATTACAGACCT